CCTGTGGGATAGTTCGTTGTTAGTACATAGAAATGTAACTGATTTTGGTATTTAATTTTGTATCCTGTGACTTTATTGAATTTATTCATTGCAATAGTTTTTTGAAGGGAGTCTTTAACAGTTTTTTAGATATAAGATCATTGTTGCCTGCAGTCGGAGACAATTTTGGTTCTTCCTTAATGATTTGGGTACCTTTCCCTTCTTCTTGTTCCCTAATCCCTATGGCTAGGACTTCCAGACTATGTTGAATACCCTTGTCTTGTTCCAGATCTTCAATTAATTAGGAACATTCTGAGATATCATGAGAACGTCCACAAACCCAAAGTGATCTACAGATTTAATGGGATCCTTATAAGAATTCCAACAACATATTTTTATGGAAAGACTAAAATATTCTAAAATTCTAGAACCATAAAAGACTCCAAAGAGCCAAAGCAGTGTTGGGAGAAGAACAAAGATGGAAGCGTCGCCTTTTCTAACTTCAAAATACATTACAAAGCTATAGTAGTCTAACCAGTATAGCATTGGCATGGAAACAGACATAAATTTTATGGTATAGCAAAGAGGGCCCAGAAATACATCCACACATTTATAGTCAACTGTTTTTCAACAAGGGTGCCAAGAATACACCATGGGGAAAAGACAGTCTCTTCAATAAGTGGTGCTGGGAAAACTGAACGTCACACACAGATGAACTGGACCCTTATCTCACACCACATGCAAACATCAGCTTGAACTTTATTATAAAGACTTAAATTATAAAGACTTAAATGTAAGACTTCCCGCTATACAGTTACTTCAAAACATAGAGACCAAGCTTCTTGACATTATTTTGGCAATGATTTGGGGATAGGATCTCAAAAGTACAGTTAACAAAAGGAAAACAGACAAATAGGCTTATGTCAAACTAAAAAACCTCTGCACAGCAAAAGAGACTCATCACCAGAGTGAGAGACAGTCTATGGAGAAGATATTCACAAACCATAGGTCACATAAGAGGCTCAAACACAAACTTGCTGTGTGGCTCTTAGCAAGTTGCCTGATCTCTCTGTTTTCCTTTGGAAAATGGGGGTGATAATCTGCGGGTTGGTGCACAAGCTTTGGACTGTGCTTTCCACAGGGCGAGAGGCGCTGTTATCACAATTAGATGGAACCATCAGCCAATGTTCCAAGGACGCGGCAAGGATGGGGTGGGTTCCCCACGAGGGAGCTGCCTGGGAGCTGTCCTGTGGGCTGGGCCAGGGGAGCACCACAGAAGAGGTGACTTTGGCTGGGCCCAGCAGGAAGTGTCAGGGCCAGGAAGACAGATGCAGAGATGACTCCAAGGTTTCAGGCTTGAGCAGATAATTGACCAAGTCAGGGTGGGGAAGAAGTGCCCAGGGGACTTGTCTTGGGGCAGGGACTCTGAGGGCTGGTGTCATCCAAGCCGACAGGCCTGGGGGCTGAGCACATGGCCTGGCTCCAGGCCCAGGGACAAAGGTGACTGGGGCAGGTCACAAGGACATTTTCTGTCCCCTAGGCTTGCTCTAGGAGACCCTTCTCTTGGAGATGGTGCCCTGGGTGTGACTCAGGGACAGTGGGAAAGAACAGAGGCCATGGGGTGGGGAGAAGCAGGGACTGGAGCTGTGGCCCATGTCTATGACAAAGGGCAATTAGAGGAGTTCAGGGACCTGTGTGCTGCATGGAGGCAGGAAGGGTGGGTCTGGGCGCATGGGAGGGCCTGCACTGGGCACAGGGGCTTTGGGGTGCAGTTCTCCCACCTTGTTGGAGGAGCCCAAGGTTAGGCAAGACATGGGGTGGTCCAGTGGGCAGCTAGGAATATGGGCGGGGGTGATTCTGGGAGTTAGGTAGGCAGAGTGGGTGCTGCAGATTTGGGGTCAGATCTCTCCATGGCGCCAGGGGAAAGCCCAAGCTTCCCCAGCACAAGGGGGGCCTGCAACAGGGCCTTTGGCTATGGAAACGCCCCGAGCGGCCTCAACCTGCTCAGAGCCTGTGGTCAGGCATGGGCATAAGCTTGGTAAAACTGACTCTAAGCCAGGGACTCCAAGGAGCTGAGAGAGGTCTCAGGTTCTCCAAAGGGATTGTCAAGATCCCTAGGACACCTCCTAATGTTCTCATTTTTTTTTTTTAAGTACTGGGATTGAACCCAGGCTTTTGCAAACAGTAGGCAAGAGCTCTACCACTGAGCCTCACACCCAGCCCTTTTTACTTTGAGAAAGGGTCTTGCTAAGTTGTGAGGCTGGCCTCGAACTTGCAATCCTCCTGCTTTAGCTTTCCGAATTGCTGGAATTACAGGTGTGTGCCAATGCGCCCAGCCCTATCCTCACCTTTTCTTAAGGCCCCATTCTGGGGAAGCTGAGTCGTGGAGTGGGAGTTCAAGAACTCCAGGCAGCCCTAGCATGGTTTGGCCTTGTCCATGGTCAAGGCCCTCAGCCCACGTTCTCTTTAAGCTTAGGCATTTGCTCAGTCCCTGAGCCCCATCAGCCGGGAGGAGCCCTGCTCTCTGAGAGCTGAAGGCCCCAGAATAAGGCCTCTAGGTTCTTCCTTCCGTGCCCAGCGACTTGGCCTAGTGCTCCCTCTCCATGCTAACCCCTCTTCCCCAAACCCTTGCAGAAAAAGCAGAATGAGCCTCTATGCAGATGAGGAAAGCTCAGAGCAGGTAAACTCTCCCCCAGGATGGCACAGTTAAAAAACCGCAGAGCTCGGATTTGAACCTCCGGGTAGCCTGACTCAGGGAGCCTGCTCTACCTTGGGGCTCTGTTTTCTTCTTTTACAAAATGGTGAATGGCATGAATGATTTATTTACTCTTCAAGTTTGCCATGAGCATGATCTGGGTCTCTGTTTTTCAAACTATGCCCCAAAAGTTTAATCCATTAAACAAATGTGCATTTGGAAGGGCTCTCTGTTCTTGTCTGTGTAGGTCTCCTGATACCTTTGGCACCTCATGCCAGAAAGTTTGCATTACCTCAGATGGTGTGAAAAGTGTCCCGGTAGCCAGGCCAGTGCTCAGCTACAGCCCTGCCCTGCTTCCTGCTGAGGGAGCAGGTGACAACGACACGGAATGGGGGTGGGGTGTGTTAAGATCACACAGAAGAAACCTGACGGGGCAATTCAGGTCACTGCCCTAGAACAGCACTGTCCCTGTCTTGAGGTGGCTTGCCAGAGGCACAGGGCAATGCAGGCAAGGATGGGAGGACCCCAGAGGCCATCCAGGAAGTTCCCTGCCTCAACTCAACCCAAAGGGACACGGAAGGCAAAGCTGCCAGCCCTGTGGGTGCTGCTTGCTGGGCCAAGGCCCTTGACCATGAACTAGCCCGGAGAGGTCGACGGTGGGACTTGGGAAACAAGTCTGAATTCAAGAACATTTGTGAAGAAACAGGGTTCTTCCTGTACAGTGGCAGAGGCTTGCTGGCTTATCAAGTGTCCCAGAGGGACCTGCACACTCTGTTTTAGGCTGGAATGAGCACGCTATGGTCCTATAAACAGATGCTCCGAAAACACCATAAACACAACTCTGCCTCTGCTCGAATTGCTCTGTTATCTTCTTCCATTCAAAAACACAAACATGTCCCTGGACTCCACCCCTCCCCTTCAGCCAACCAGAGCCCTTTCCCTGCTGCCCCCCGCGGTCCTGCGCGGACTTCCAGAAGGGCTCACCATGCACCCATCCTCTCCTCCACTGACACCCAGGTCCCCATGACCTCCTTGTGGCCAAAGCCAGGACACTTCTCTGTGTTGGTCCTTTGGCTCTCTAGAACCTGTGCCTCCCAGTATCCTGGTGGTAGCAGAGGGCTGCTAGGGTGGGAGGGGACAGCATTCCAGAAGTAAGGGACTTGCAGAACCTCCCGTCAGAGGGCCGCTGTGATGGTTCTCATGGACTCTTCTGGACTCTTCTTGACACCTCACCCTCCTGGTTTGCCTCCTCCCGCCCTGGCCATTCCTCCTTCGCCCCCTCTACTGACCCCGCCCCTCTCCCCATCTAGACCCTCTTTCTGAGTGACTCCATCCATCTCCAGCACCAGGTGCACATGGACACTTAACCCGAGTGAACCCCCTATCTCCCTGTGACCCCTTCCAAAGCTTCAAACCCTTCTGTCCATCAACCTAGGACAGCTCCCCAAGGGTGCTCAACAGGAGACCCAAATACAATGTCCCGAAACTGAGTCCTGGTTCTCATCCCCATACTGTTTCTCTTCCAGCATTTGCTCTTCCTGAAAATGTTGCCACCAGGTGGGTAAATAGAGAACTTGTTAGTGTCTTTCTCCATCTCCAATAGCATGTCCTGTTGGCTCTAACTCAAAAATACAACTAGGACTCAAACACCCCTCTCCCTCCTCTTTCTCAGGGCTGTATTCATAGCCCCCAACCTCACCCTGCTGATACAAACGGGTCCCAAGCAATCCCAATTGGGCTTCAAGCTTCCACTTTTGTCCCCTTTCAAATTTATCCTGAGAACGGTCAGAATTACCTTATAAAATGTGTTATAATACTCTGTAGGACAAGTGCCCCATGAAGTTCTTGCTTCTTCAAAATTTATATATATATATGTTTTTTCCTTTCCTAGGGACCCAACCCAGGGCCTTGCATATGCTAGGCAAGCACTCTACTGCTCAGTCACACTCCCAGCCCTGGTTATTCTTATTTATTCCTTTTTCAGATGAAATGTAGAAGCAAATATGTTCTTTATAGAAAATTCATTGAAATAATACCCTAGGCCTCCTCTCTGTGGCCAGTGTGAAGTCTGAGTTAAAGTAATTCTTTAGGTAAACCTAATAAACGAAAACCTGGCTTTCGATGTAGAGGCATGGGGAATGACGTCTGTCTCTCCTTACCAAAGCATTTATAAGCTATGCAACCCTGCAGCTTTCTAGCGCTTCTTGCCAGAGCTGCCATTTCTGCGAGCCGGGGGCGTGGCCCGGGCGCTGCCAGCCAGGGGTGGGGCCTGGGGGCGTGGCCTGTCGGGGCGTGGCCCGGCGGAGGCGGGGCCTACGGCTCTTACCTCCCTGAGGCACGTGTAGATGGGGCACACCAGCACGCGGAAGGGCTCGCCTGTGCTGCTGCGCATGGTGCCGAACACCTCGCACAGGAAGGTGATGAAGCCGAGCCAGCGCTCCACGTCCTGTTGCTGCAGCTCCTCGCGCACTGTGAAGTCCTTCTGTGGGGGCACAAAAGACTGTGTCAGCGAGGGGCCCGGGCACAACCCGCTGTGCCACAGAACCTGCTATCCAAGAGCCAGTCCTGGGCAGCAGGCAAACCCCATGTCTTAAATGAGGATGGGGTGGGTGACCTGTGGACTCTCTGGGGCAGCGGGACCACCTTGACTGGTAGCTTCTACACCTCTTCTCCAGGTGTCGCTGTGTTGGGGCACAGATTCATCTTTTCCCAATATTGCCCAGGCATGCTGCAGGTCACCACCCTCCTTCCCAGAGGCCCTTAAGTCTTGCCTTCGTGACCCCAAGACTGAGGAGGGGGGATGGGATCGGGATGACACCCTTCTTGGACTGCTCCCCTCCCTCTTTCAACTCCCTGTGGCTACACTGTCTCCCACCAGGGAGGGTAACGATAACACGCCCCTGCCAACAGGGCCAGCAACTGGTTACCCAGGCCCATTTTTAGCCCTGGCCGCTGGCTAGAAACACAAGTACAGCCCCTCCTGCAAAGGGTCTAGAAGACAGTAGGAAAACTGAAGCATGCATTCATTCACTCACTCATTCTCCCTCCTTAGAGTATTACTGTGCTACCTGCCAGGGGCTGGCCTAGGGGCTAGGCTAAGGCAGGTTCCCTGTTAACTATGATACAAGAGAGATGGTATTAAAAGCCATCAAGGGTTCCAGTAAAGGGACTTTGGAGTTCAGAGGCAGGAGTTACTACTCTCAACTGGAAAGCAGAGCCTTCAAAGAGGCTAGGATTCTGACAGGAACAAGTATCTAGAGTAGTCCAACTCAGAACAGAAAGAATGCCTAGGGTTGGAGGCAGGGGGAGTCATTTAATGGGTACAGAGTTTCAGTTTTGCAAGATGAAAAAATCTTGGAGTTTGGTTGCATAACAGTGTGAGTGTAAGCTAACCCTACCCAGCTACACAATGAGGATTGGAACGATAAAGTTGGTTGAAACTTTTATCTTACTTGAATGCATGTTCCAGCCAACAAAATTTATGACTCAAGTCTGAGGAAATCATAGTACAGAGGAATGGGAAGAGAAAATCGAAACAAATCAGGTAGATGCATGAAGTTCAGTCAAAATTAGTAATTATAGCTGGGTGCAGAGGTACATGCCTGTAATCCCAGTGGCCAGAGAGGCTGAGGCAAGAGGATTGCAAGACAGAATCAGCCTCAGCAACTTAGTGAGGCCATAAGCAACTTAGTGAGATGCTCATTTAAAATGTGAAAAAGAGCTGGGGATGTGGCTCAGTGGTTAAGTTCCCCTGGGTTCAATCCCTGGTACAAAAAAAAAAAAAAAAGTAACTATTTTGGTTATAGAGTGAATAAAAAACTAGACATAATCTTTGTAAGAGAAGATTTTTTATTTTAACAAACTTTTTTTTTTTTTAAACTTCATTATTAGTTTTGGACCCAGATTGTTTGGAGGTTTTAGCAGGAAAGCACAGCTACTGGGATGCCCTTGGTCAAAGAAAAGTCCTCCTCTATTGCGGAAGGTCGTCCTCTTCCACCGAGCACACAGCTTCAGGAGGGACACACATGGAATGTTGAAGGAGCAAGACATCTACCTAGCGATGGGGTACCAACCCTGGAGATCAATGGGGTGACAGGTATAAAAGCCAGATCGTCCTCACATCCTCATTATTATTTTTTAAAAATATTTATTGTTTTCTTTTTTAGTTTTCGGTGGACACAGCATCTTTATTTTATTTGTATGTGGTGCTAAGGATCGAACCCAGGGCCGCACGCATGCCAGGTGAGCGCAGCTACCGCTTGAGCCACATCCCTAGCCCCCATCCTCATTATTAATTTTGGAAACAGGGCCTTACTCTGCTTCCCAGGTGGGTCTCAAGCTCCTGGGCTCAAGTGATTATGCCTGGCTGATACTTAATTTTAAAAATAAATAATATTTTCATAGTAGTAGTGATTTAATAATCCAACATTACTGACAACTGGTAAATATTTGTGAGAAGGGGATGAAAAATAAATGAAGCCTAAGTGTGATAATCATAGAAATATAAGTTAAAGTACATTTTAAAAAAATGTTCAAACACTAGTAGATTGTTAGTAGAACTGAAAACAGAAAATGAAAGAGAGAAGAGAGAAAAGAAAAATAAATAAAGGAAAAAATTGTACTGGGAAATGAAACCACTAACATTCTATTATTGGTGAAATGGGCAAGATGATTTAAATAGTAGAATTATTTAAATAATAGAATTAATAAGTCTAAATTAAAGCAACCTTATAGTGAACTGTGATTCCACTATAATTTTCAAAACATAGAAATTGTATGGGTTAGACACTGGGACCAAGAATTAGCAACAACTTAAAAAAAAAAGCACACCGATTACTTATGTATTTAAAAGGTATCCTCTTAAATAAAGATGGAATAAGAAATAATCAAATATTCAATAGATTATTTAGGAAACAAAGAGCCATAAAAACTGGTAGGATGTGGCCAAAGTTATGATAAGGGGTCAATTTATAGTTTTAACTATTTTTGGCTATTAAATAAAGGAAAAAAATGTATCACTTAGACCTCTGTTTTCCAATATGATAAAATCTAGATATGTATGATTATTGGGTGCTTATAATGTGGGTAACCAAACTGACATGTTCTGTAAATGTAAAATAGGCAGGGTTTTTCAGAGATTTATATAAAAATAAGAACATAAAATGTCTCATATCTTAAAAAGGCTTAGAACTCATTGAAATTTGGGGTGTACTGGGTTAAATAAAATATATTATTAAATTTCAAATAACACATGTTGATCCCACTATTTGTCTGTCTGACAGTGTTACTCCAAACATGCAACTCAAAAAGTTAAAAAACTGCTGAGCCAGTGGCACACACCTAGAATGTCAGTGTCTTGGGAGGTTGAGGAGGGAGGATCCTAAGTTGGAGGCCAGCCTGGGCAATTTGGTGAGACCCTGTCTCAAAACTAAAAAAAAAAAAAAAAAATTCAAAAGGGCTGGAGACGTAGCTCAGTGGTGGAGTATCCCTGGGCTTAACCCCAGTACCAGGGAAAAAAAATTCAACAAACAAAACAAAACAAAAACCCAGCCAAACAAATAAAACAACAGCTAGGGAAATACAGAAAAGGACATAACCCAGATAAAGCTGGAAATTAATTAATTAGAGAAAGGAAGCTATATATAAAATTAAGAAGCAATAGAAGTAAAATAAGATGTGAAAATGCATATGATTCTGTTGATTTTGAAAAAAAAATAATGGAATGGGTGATTTTTCAGAAAAATAAAGATCATCAAATTTTACTTTAAAAAGGAAAAATCCAGAATAGATGAAAAAAATCATAAAATGAAAAGTTATGAAAGAATTACCTTTTTAAAGTCTTTAAATATATGACTTTTATAGGTAAATTCATTCAAACTTTCAAAGAATTAGATAACTGCTCTCCTTTGGAAACAGACTCAGAATCAGGAAAAGATACACTTTCCAACCAGGTCCCTCTGACCCAAACTCCTGACAGTAGATTGTGAACAAGGATGCCTATAGGCTAATCCCTCTAATGTGAATAGACGTCAAGGTCTCAAGTAAAATACTAGGAAATGAATCCAATATAACCAAGTAGATTTTTATCCTAGGAAGACAAGAATGATTTAGTATCACGAAATCTATAAAGTAATACATCACATCAATAGATCTGATTAAGAAACAGCAACAATGACTAATGACTCTCAATGATCCTTGGAACAGAGGAAATAAAATTATTAGATTAGCCAGGCCCAGTGGCTCAGGAGGCTGAGGCAGGAGGATGGAGAGTTCAAAGCCAGCCTCAGCAACTTAATAAGGCCCTAAGAAACTCCGTGAGACCCTGTCTCTAAATAAAATGTAAAAAGGGCTGAGGATGTGGCTTAGTGGTTAAGTGTCCCTGGGTTCAATCCCTGGTACCAAAAAAAAGAAAGAAAAAAAATAGATTATATGTATGAAAAATCCAGGAAAACCCTCTAATAAAGATGAAAATTAATCAGAAGTTAGTAATTAAAAGAATATTTACATAAAAATTGATATACAAAATCAACAGCTTTCTTCATAGCCACATTGACCAGTGCCTCATTTTAATGTACAAAAGCTTATCTGTAAAAGCAACAAGATAGTGAAATTCCTCCATGAAGAAAACTGCAAAGACTAAGCTGAAGCTTTTGAGTGATGGTTTGAACAAGTAAAGAAACACATAATATTCCCAGTGATAAGCTTTGTAAAGATGGTGGTTCTCCAAGCACTTCACAGAAGAAGAAATACAAATGGCCAACAAATATATGAAAAAGTGTTCAACGTCTCTAGCAATTAGAGAAATACAAATAAAACTACACTGAGATTCCATCTCACTCCAGTCAGAATGGCAATTATCAAGAATACAAATAACATTAAATGTTGGCAAGGATGTGGGGAAAGAGGTTCATTTATACATTGCTGGCAGGACTGCAAACTGGTGCAATCACCCTGGAAAGCAGTATGGAGATTCCTTAGAAAACTTGGAATGGAACCAACATTTAACTTAGTTATCCCACTCCTCAGTCTATACCCAGAGGACTTAAAATCAGCATACTACAGAGACACAGCCATTTCAATGTTTATAGCAGCTCAATTCGCAAGAGCCAAGCTATCGAACAAACCCAGGTGCTCTACAACAAATGAATGGATAAACAAAATGTGGTAATATATACACAATGGAATATTACTCAGCCATAAAGAAGAATGAAATTATGGCATTTGCTGGTAAATGGATGGAAATGGAGAATGTCATGCTAAGCGAAACAAGCCAATTCCAAAGAACCAAAGGCTAAATGTCTTCTCTGATATGCGGATGCTAACCCACAACAAGGGAGGAGAAGATCAGAAGTTCATTAGAGAAAACAAAGAGTTTATTATGGTTTGACCTGATAGTTGCACCTTTGGGTGATTATCATAAAGAAACAATTAAAAGTCACAGAAAAAAATAAGCTTAATGCACATTAAAAATTCAATAACCTA